TTTCCCATTTCCCCCCCTCTTGTCTGAGCTGGGAAGGTAAGGGGAAGCCAGCGAGTTGGGTGATGCGCGCGTGAACGCGCGGGCTTTTGCTCTGGAGACGGGCAAGGCGACCTACAAGCCGCTGGGTGGCACCCCCAGCTCTCGGCCCTTGTATGGAAGTAGGAGCGCAGGCTGGAGGGTGCCAGGTCTGAGCTCACGGCTCTCAGCCGCTGACATGCCGGCGGGCGGCGGGCAAGTTCACAGAGCTCGGAGGAGGTGGCTGTGCAGCGAACCGGCTTTTGCGCGGAAGTCGGCTGGGAGGACCCGCCTAGGAGAGAGCCCGCGCCCATCAGCAGGGGTGGCAGGAGGCGCCTTTTACAGGGTCCTCTCCTCACCTTGTCTGGGCGGTGTAGGGGGCAGGGGAAGTGATTTGAGAAAGTTTCTAGAAGGAATGACTCCCATGCTATGGGTGGGGGGGAGGGATCTGAAAACGGAACCAGAGAAGGGCTAAGGGAAGGGTGATTTTGTTAAATGGCATGGTGACCTGGTGGGTTTTCAAACCCTCCATTTGCCAGGTGGGAAAAACGGAGCCAGGGAGACTGCAGGAGCCTATAGGATGGGGGTGGGTGTGAGGTGGGTCAAGTTGTGCTTGGGAATCTCCATCCTCAGCCTCCTCTCCCCCTGCTCCCTTGTAGTCTTCCAATGCCCTCATCCTCCCCTCCAGTTTTTGGTACGTTCCTGCTATGGGACTGTCACTGAAAGCACAAAAGGATATGCTGGGATCTTTGAATAAAAAAGGAGACACTGAAGGGAAGCTCTGAAATAGCCTCTGAAGCCGAGAAGCCAGGGTGAGGGGAATGGACCCTTTGCAAGTTTTAAGCACAGAATAAAGGAAAAGGCGTCGATGTAGTGCAGCAACACACAGCATGGCCAGACAGAAAGAAGGACTTCCTGGTATTGCCTGGGGTTGAGCATGAAGGTTATGCCTTCTTTCTGGGTGTGGAGAGGGCCTTCTGTTTGGGGTGGCTTGACCTGTACTCCTGCCTGCCACCCCTCATTGGTCTTGGGGTCTTTTTTTTTTTTTTTAGCTCAAAGAGGCTCTGAAGGTAGTGGTTAAGGACCTAGGCCTGGAGTCAAATGACCTGGATTCGAGTCCTGGGCTCTGCCACGTGCTGGCCTCGTGACCTTGGGCAAGTTGTCTAAGCTCTCTAAATGTCACTTGCCTCCGTGGGAGATGGGGTGAACAGGATGAGTGAGTAGGGTTTCTTGTGAGCTTTCGCGCTATAAAGAAATGAGTGACTACCTGTTATATAGTAAGTGCTCAATAAATGTTATCATCATCACCGTCATTTCATTATCTCTGGGGTTCCAGTCTTCTCAGTTTCTTTCCCTTGGGGCCTTCAGGGCATCGGGCACCAGGGTATCTTGGGGGAGGAGTTGAGAAGGCTGCCTCTGTCAGACACCAAGTACCCTTTCATGGGCTGACCTTGTCTTAGGGAGAACCTGTCATCCCTCTGCAGCCCGGGGAGATGTGTGGAGGGCATGCGGGCCACCGGGCTGCTGCGTGGAAAGCCTTTGAAAGGTCTGGGATTTTGTCCGTGACCAGAGGTTTGTGGGAAGGATGCAGGAGGTTATAGCTTCACCGCCTCTGCAGGGAGGGAGAAGGGAGGCCTGCCTGGTAGGCGCCTGCTCACGGGAGAAACAGCCAGCAGTGTTCAAATGCTGGCTCTGTCTGTGTGAGAGCTCAGCTGCTCTCTGACTGGCAGAGTTGACTTCCGGGGGCGGAGGGGGGGGGGTTGGAATTCCTGAAGGGGAGGGACTTTGCAATGCCATGTTTGGGGTTGGGTTTGCCGGAAGCAGGGCTGCTCTAGCACAGGAGTGGAAGGGGGCAGCCCCTTGGGCATTGTTGGGTTAGGGCAGAGGTAGGGATGAGCTCTCCCTTTTGACTTGAGTTGTGCATCTGGAGGGGATTGAGGTGGGTGGAGAGGCTGGGGAGGGAATGGAGAAGAGAGAGACTAGAGACGTGTCTGGAGTCTGGTAGGTGGTGATTGGAGTCTGAGCATCCCAGACATTTGCTGAGCAAGCTGGGGGTGGGGGGGAGCCCCCTGGACCACGCTTAGCTGACTCTGGGTCTTGATGCCCAGGGCTCCCTCCTCCCGTCTCCCACAGATTCTGTGGCTGGATTATCCCTGACTCCAGTGTCCCCAAATAAAGTGGAGCTCTGACTCAGATCCTGCGTGTAGCTGGACCAGTGCCCTCTCTGTTCTCCCTTTGGTAATGAAGATAAGAGGGAGGAGGTTTAGACCCGGAGCTGCTGGCAAGACCTCCTGGGCAGCCTATGGGCCAGGGAGGGCTGGGTCAGGAAGTGGCCAAGTGGGGTGCGCAGGGCCCTTGCGGGGCGTCAGAGGGGTTCTGTCGGGCAGCATGCGCCCTGGGAGAAGCTGTGGAGAAACGGGGCAGAATCAGCTTTCAGCTCCTGGCCTGAGGCCCAGCACTTGCTAGACTTGGAGTTGTCAGGCCCCGGAGCTGGGTGGTTTCATGTTTATGGCTCTGATAGAAAGTGGGATCCGGTTACCCAAGGAGCAGAGGCTGCCTAGCTGGGGAGATGCTAAAGCCGGGCATCTCCTGCCCTCCCTCTCTCCTGGCTCTGCTTTCCCCAGTGCCTGCGTTTTCTCTCTCCCCTCTGCCCGCCCGGCCAGGGCGCCTGGGCGCGGCTCTCAGAGCCCGGCCTGCTCGTTCTCTTCTCATTGGCTCTTTTTTTCCCTCTGATGTGCTGGGCGCCATCCTGTGTGCCTTGCCCAGGGACTGAGGGTGGGGAGATGAACCCCAAAGGGGGCCGGGCCTGGGATTTACCACACTTCTCCACTAACATCTCCCCCCTCCCTGCATCCTGTGGCCTCTTCAGGCTGGGGCTTGGGGCTCAGGGGAGCGAGTTTCTTCTGTCGGCTTCTCTGGGATGGGTGAGCAGCTTGCGTGGAGCGGCTCTGAATTGTGAAGAGCTGTCCGGAGGTGTGTGCGCGTCTGCGTGCATGTGCATGTGTCTGTGTGTGAGCATGTGTGTTTGCACCTGTGTGTGTGTGTGTGTGTGCCGCACACGTGTGGAACGCAGCAGGACAGGGGCAGTCAGTCTGCAGGCAGGAGGTGGGGAGTCACTCCTCTCCAAGTGCCGTGGGTGGCGGAGACTAGACTCAGAAGAGCAGATGCTTCGCTTTCCTTATCCCCGGCTCTGCACCTGAGTGTAGGCAGCCCAGAAGTTTCCGAAGTTGGGGGCCCAGCCCAGGCTCTAGATTTAAGGATGCCTGAGGTTCCAAGAGAGAAAGCCTAAGTCGGGGGGGACAAACCCAGGTTGAGCCCCGGGAATGCCAACAACAGGTGTGTCCTGCCCCAGTGGCTCTGACACCCGGCTTGTTACTCAGCACAGCCGAGTCGAGCAGGGCTGGGTCGCAGGGAAGATGGGCGAGGGTGCTGGGTTGCAGAAGCAGCTTGCAGCCTGGCCCCTCAGGGGCACTGCCCACGGGTGCCAGTTCAGTCTGCCCCAGGCAGCTGACCTATTTTTTCTTCGGAATCTCCTGCTTTTGTGTTTTCTCTTGCGTGAATGAGCAGCAGGCTGGTGAGCAGAGGCAGGGAGGGCCTCCATCAGGGTGTGGGGGAAAATTCCATGTGGCCAAGGCTTCGAGGGAGGTCCCAGGGATGAGATGTTCCCTCTGGGCCTGTCCCTCTGTCCCCTGCCCCCATCTCCTTGACCTCCCTCCTGGTCACAGGACCCACCAAGACAGTCTGTGGCAGGGAATGCTGACGCTCCGCCATAAGTACTAATAGGGCTTTGATTTCCCACTTACCGTGTCTACCTGGCACCTCACCTGGGGATCGTGACCCCGTGGCAGGTAGAGCCCACTGTGTGCTCACCTGGCCGGGCCTGCCTGCTGGCTCCGGGGCACACGCGTGCATTTGGCCACGTGTGAGTGTGCAGGTGCAGGCCTCCGTCCAGGTGGTGGGGAGGGCTCGCGTGGGGTGTGGCCGTGCCTTGCTGCCGAGGAGTCATTAAAGGAGCAGAGCCGAGGTTGCATTACTGGCTCCATTCCTGGCTGCTTCCCGTCGGGAGCTCTTGGAGGAAGGGCTCCCGGAAAGATGGTCTGGCCGAAGCATTGCTGGAGAGGTCCCCCAGAGGAAGGCGGCCTGCCATTCCTGCCCCGCCTCCCAGGACCTTGCTGTTCAAAAGATGGGACATTCTCCTGGCCAGGCCAGTCCGGGCTCACCTGACCTCTGACTTCCGACCCGAGAGGTTTGAAGGGGAGTGGGGTCCGAAGGCTGTGAGCACACGGATGGGGAGACCAGAGGAGGAGGGGACTTCTCTGAGGACCTGCCCGCATGGGTGGGGGGTCCTCGCTGGAGGCAGATGATGTCCAGGTGGCCTGTGGCCACCTGCCTGGTGGAGAGGAGAGCCAGGGCAGCATCTGGTGTCTGGACACAGCGTCCTGAGCCACACAGGCTCCGAGAGAGCTCCTAGCTTCCTGGTGGGCAGCAGGGAGCCTGTCTTCCGCCTGCCGCCCGCCCTCCTTCTGGGCGAGCGCCTCCCTGGGCCCGAGGGCCCGTTCCCTGGAGTCTCCGGGAGCCTCCTGGCTGGTCAGGGGGGATGACTGGGGGGCTTCCAGCGGCTGTGCCTTTTTTGGACTCAGCAGAGATTATTTTTAGGTGGCAGTGGAGGTGGCAGTGGCTGCCACTCGTATTATTAGACAGCAGGCCTGTGGTTTGGGAGTCTGGTGCCCAGAGGAGGAGGGGGAGGGGAGAAGGAGCAGGAAGACAGGAGGAGGCTCCAGAGAGGACCTGGCCTCCTGAGGGCAGCGCTCCCTTGTGGTCTCTCTCACCACAGCGGCCGCCAAATCCAGCCGGAGGCTCCTGGGCCAGGTACAGTGACACTGAGCTCCGAGCCAGCTCACGTCGGCCAACTGCCTTCTGCAATGTCTGCCCCGTCATCCTGGCCGGGTCCTGGTTACAGGAGCCTGGTGGAGAGCCTTGCAGAGCATGCCGTGGAGAGGGGCGGTGGGGAGGAGCGGTGGGGCGTGCTTTGGGTGCAGTGGGGAGAGGGTTTGGTGCCTGGCCTGTGGCCGGCAGGATGGCACCAATGAGTGAAGCCAAGAGGGTGTGCAGGCTGCCCTAGCGGCCACCTGAGTGACCTGGCTGAGCCGCGGAGCCTCCCAGCTTGCTGGTTTGTGACATGGCAATGGTAGTGCTTCTGCCAGGTGGGCACCGTGGCCATTAAGTGAGCTCCGTGTTACATGCCCAGCACAGGGCCTGGCATATGGCAGGTGGGCAGAGGAAGCGGGAGCTCTCTGCACTGGCACCGGTACCTTCTCTGGTATTAGGAGTGTCTCCCACGTCGGTGCCCTGCCTCCCGCAGCCCTGCCCTGGGAGAGCTCCAGGTGGTGAATGTCAGGTGTGGGGCCGTGCCAGGCCCCGGTCACCTCGTGGCCTCGCGGTTCTGTGCTCACGGGATCCAATGGCAGCCGTGGACTCGGGCCCCCACCGTGGACCACCTGGCCCCGGGAGCAGGAGATTTGTACCCCGTGGGCTTTCAAAGGTCAGCCAGGCTGCAGGTGCTGCCTCTCCCTCCTTCGCCCCCCCCTCCCCTTTTCCCTCCTGGGGTAGAACAGCTCCATGGGGGATTGGCAGGACCCCAAGGTGCAGATTGGCTGGGCTCGGGCACTGCTGTGTTCCGCCTTCTCTGAACCCGGCCTGTGAAATCCAGGACACCTCACAGCCTCCCGCTGTCCTCATGCCTGCAGGTCCCAGCTTCTCTCTAAGAGGGTGCAGCCCCCGCTTTGGGCTGCTCAGGCTTCTGTGATGGGGAAGGGGGTCTGGGGGGGTCTCTGTCCTTCTTGCAGCTTCTCCCCACCTCATGTCACATCCATCCTTCTCTTTTCCTCCCCCCTGCCCCACCCTCCCTGCCTCTCCCTCTCCCTGCCCCGCCCTCCTCCCTCTTCCCTCCTCCCTTCCACCTCTCCCTCCTCCCTCCCTCCCTCTCTCCCTCCTCCCCCTTCCTTCCTGCTCCCTTCAGAACCAGTGGGCAGTTACTCCCGTCAGCTCTGCTGGGAGAAGCCCACCTGTTCCCTGGAGGAACAGCCTCAGCTCTCTGGCCCTCCTGGTTCTGGGTGCTTTGAAGGCCTGTGTGTATGTCCCTGTGGCTGAGTCTTCAGTGCCCGTGAGTTTCTCTCTCTCTC